TTAAAGAAATTAAAGTCTTATCAAATTGATCAAGTTAATCTTTTTATTAAAATCCAATTAAATATTTATAATTAGAATTAAAAGAAGAATAAAAAGCAAATTATAGATAATAATAAAAGTTATAGAATTAAAAATAATATTATAAAAGAATAAAATAAGATTTTATAAAATAATTAAAAATATATTATAAAGAAAAAAGCTATTATTAAAAATAATAAATAGTTATAAAATATTAATTTATCTATTATTATTTTATTAATTAAAATATAATCTTTTAAATTTTGAAAGATAATTATTATATATAATTTTATATTATTAAAATTTTTTATATATAAAACTTCTATTTAGTTAATATATAAAGAATAAAATATATATATAATAATAATTATAAATATATTAGAAATTTCATAAAATATATAATAGAAACTTGAAAAATTTCTATCTAAAATACTTTAAATCTATATAAAAATTATAATATATGTTAAAAATATATAAAAATATACTAAATATATATATAATAATATATATATTAAATAAAAAAATATAAATTAGAAAAAATATATAAAAAATATAAATAAATATCAGTTTATAAATTAACTAGTATTTGAATAAAAGATTAAATTAAACTTATTTAATAAATATAATTCAAATTATATAAATATTTATTCTTTGAAATTCATAAAAATAAAAAATATAATAATAAAAAAATATATATTAAATTTTAGTTATAAAAAAAGTAAAATAAATGAAAACCTAATATTAAAAGAAAATTATACTATTATTAAAACATTTAATTTTATATTATGAAAATATTGTGACATTAACATGCAGAATTTTAAAATTTTAATAATTTAATAATATAAATTTATTTAATCAGATCAAATTAAGTTCTATATATTTATTTTTAATAATATATATTTTCTTTTCAAACTTTGAACTTTATTAAAATATTATTTAAAAATATTAATATTAAAGAAGTTTCATCTTCTATTACTTTATTATTTCTGCTTCTTCACAAGATCTTGATAATAAAAATCAGTTGCTAGTTAAAAAAATTAATATATATTATTTATTAAAGATATTAAATAAAGTCCAATAATCTATTAAACAGTATATTATATTCATATTTCCAATGCTATTTTTAAGATATGTTGTTATTAAAAAATATTATTCAGATCAAATTCTCTTATGATATTTGATAAAAAAACTTTAAAATAATATATTACTTTTTGATTTAATAAATTTGCTATTGATTCTTATATTAATATTATTATTTTTGTCAAATTTATCTTTGGTACCAATCCAATAAAAGTAAATCTCAATTTTAAGATAATTATCAAGCCCAAATTGAAAGACTTCACAAACTGTTGCCAACTTATCAAAGACAAATATTGGGCATTAGAACTTGATCGGTATTGTTTGTGTTTGATTAATGCTAATGATTTTGAACTTTCTAATAGGATCTGACAAGGAGATAACTTTGTAGGAACATGCAGAAGCCATTAATGTGAACAATCCAAAACAATTGACCAAATCCAATGTGTCTTGTAGCAAGAATTATGGAAAAAGTAACAAAGAAGTGATCAGTGACCGATCATAGAATAATATCCATAAGGAATATATAAGTAATTTTCACAAATATTGCATATAGAATTCGTCTGTGAATTCAGGATTGGTGCGTAATATAATAGGATGTGTAAGCAATTTTACGAGATGTGAGCGGGATAAATAAGATATGCGTCTGCTTCTGGAAAGTATATGGAATTTTACGAGGTGTTCACGGGAATAACCAATATAATTAGCGCCTGGAAAGCATATAGAATTTTACGAGATGCGAATGGAATATATAAGATATGCGTCTGCTTTTTCTGGAAGTTATAGGTTATTTGTGTCTGGCAAGCATATGGAATTTTTAAATGCCGTATGATAATTCCGTACAAATTTATACGCGAAACGTGTCCAATTACATACGGAATTAATTATTGACACATTACTTATGCGTTACGTAAAATTCACATTTTTCCCGTAGGGTATTACAATACATTTTTTATTGTATAATTCTAAATAATAAATAAGTTTGAGAAAATTTCTTTAACTGGTATGGTGATGCTGAAGAATTAATTCTCAAATTTTCAAAAAAGAACCGAAAGTTTGGTAAAGTCTTATTACAATTAAATAAAAACTTATCTAATGAACTAATAAAAACATACAGAACGAATTATTAAATTAAAAACGTAAGAACCGAGAACGGAACGAAGGACGAAAGAACACACGTAATATAAATAGAATAAACGAGCAATGAATCAATGAGTACGTCTAGGAAAACTGATATTGATATGTTTATGTTTTTATATAATGATGTTTTGAAACTTTCAAATATCTACTTATTTAACTCAAATTTGTCATATTATATATAGTAGCTCCATAAAATGATTATATAAATTTTCAAAATCAATATTTAAGTAGTGTTATTAGTTTATAAGCAGTGAATTGGTTTGTGATAAAAAATGATTGATCGAAACACACTGATAGTAAAAGATTCGTCAAATATTACGTTAATATTAATATTCTCCTTTCTAGTAAAGGGAAATTGATCCATTATTTCGTTAAACAGGTTGTCGATCGAATTTCTAGTTTCATTAGTGGAGATGACAATATCATTGTATTCGGTCATTGATGTTGTATCATTTAAAGAGGATGACCTAAATATTTGTGCAGCTTTTTGAGGAAATGAGCGATTACTCGCTGAGCTAGACCCATTATATCCGTATTGAGATTAAAAGGAAGCTGATCTAATGAAAGTCCATTAAATGCGTCGTTAATTGAATTCTCGACTTCATTATTAACATTTATCATGGCGGGATGAGTATCATCAATTGTTGACGAGGTGGAAATGGCAGTATTATTGTATTCATTCATTGATGTTGTATCATTTAAAGGGGACGACATTTGTGCTGCTTCTTGAGGAAGTGAACGATTACTCGTTAAGCTAGACACGGATACCGAAGTAAATCTATATTTCTTATGTTCACGAAAAACCCATTCCTTATAGTTACATTTTTCGGTTTATACCTGTAATTAGGAAATAAGCTTTATGATTCTCATAAGCTATTTTCTCTAGTATTTTGAAGAAATGCTTGTCTTCATTTGATAACGTTTGCCATTTTAAGCTGCATTCCTTTGCTGTTTCTTTGACTTTTTGTTTGTGTGTGATTGAATAAACGTATACGTGCTTCATAGTCTCTTCGAAAAATTATCCAGCTATTCTGCGGTCGAGGTGGTTTTTCAGAATCATCACGTTTTTTTGCAGCAGGTTTTGTTAATTCTTCAATAGAAAGAGTTAACTGGTAAGAGCATTTAATTGAAAATAGCAAATTAATATAGGAAAACCAGTCGTAATTAGCACGAATAGCAGAATTAGACATTTTAAACTATACAGTTAATTTATCAAAAGGATAGTTGAGAAAATAACGAATAAAAAAAACAGAAATTTCGTGGAAGAATCAACTCTCTACGAAAGTTGATTTATACGATATTTTTTACCCCAAAATTGATTTGATAACATTTGATAACAGTGAAATGAATCACTCTCTTCCTGAAATATACATGTAATAACCGGTATGTAATCACTTACCTAGTTTCGTAAAAATTAAGTAATATCCGGTCCTTATCACTTATTTGGTCTCGTTATCGTTATAAGCTTGGGTCACATCTCTAGTAAGCATCTTCTTTTTATTTATATTATTCAGTAAACTATTGTGAAATTAATTTCTGAGGATTTTAAATCGAGTCATTAATTCATGCATTTGATAAAGATATGCCTCTCTTATCTTGCTAAAATCATTTGATTTGCTTTAAGCTTAGAGAAGATATCAGATATAATATTTATATATCTATGACATTTGTAACAAAAATATCATTTTACCTAATACATTAAACTCTAATATTTTATTGCAAATTTTTTATTTAAAAAATAAACAAAATTAAACCTAATAACTTGAGATTGATATATTATATATTATATATATTTATTAAAATTTAAGTATTAGATTATTTTCATTATTATTTTTAATCTTATAAATCATTTATAAATATTATATATAAATAATAATTATAACTTTAATTATTAAATAATTATTTATTAATTATGATTTTGTATATAATTATTTAAAATTATTAATATTAATATATATACATATTTAAATGCTTGCTAAAATTCTTAGAGAATAAAATGATCTATTAGAAAATCTTAATTATTATGGATTTTTTTTGAATTGCAGCAATATAATAAATCTGCTGAAAGTTAAAATTATAATAAACCATTAGTGTATAACTCCTGAATTTCAGCATTTCTCAAAATAATTTTTCAAGTTACGCATACTTATAAAAAATTTATAAATATTTTAATTGTTTTAATATCGATATATATTAAAACATTAAATTTAAAATTAATAATCTTAATAATATTAATATATTTTTAAAATTACTCAATTTTAAAGTTGAAAAGATTATTTTAATCAAAGATTATCTATCTTGAAGAATAATACCAAGATTATTAATATGACTTGAAAAATTGTTGCTATCATTGATCAGTGGATTACGTATCCCATATTCATATTCCCCTTAGTTTCGGAACTGGCTACAAATTAGAAATAGAATTAGTGATGGGAGATAAGATTAGCTTTGGCCGACGAATTCTATCTTCACATGTTTTTCAAATTATTCATATAAAAGGATATAGGAAATATTTTTAGAGCACATGGTTACTTTTTTAACGATAAGTGGTTTAAACAGATACGTGCATGATGTATGCATTAATATATGTGCATGTACATGAACTAAATAGCGTACATCTCATGCACTGGGATACATGTATGTGTAATTGTCATCGACGCGTTTTGACGTAATTATTTTCAAATGCATGTACATGTACACCATTGCATTAACTTCTACCCATGTGAAAGTATAAATATTCATGTGAATCAAACATCAGACGGTTAATGATAATAGTAAAGCCCCATCCTGATGGTGCATTACTTAAGAAGTTAATGGCTGATGGAATAGATGCACCAATGGATGCCGCTAACGAATCAAAGTAAGAAATGATTCATAAATCTGTACGCTGTGATAGACCGAATCTGGATGGGGAAAAAATGTGATGAATTGAAATATAAAGCAACGCGGAATAAAATAGAGGTAGTCTTCAAAAAGAAAGAATAAATTAAAAATAATTGTGATGCTGTTGACCAATAAGGGTGGTAGGTTACTTATAACCAGCACTGTATCATGTAATAATCGTACCAAGCTAATTAAATTAAAATTTCAACCTATCTTATGCTCTTACGATGAACAGAAACCCTCAACTTAATAATACTTGTGCATGTTTATATAGCATAAATTACCCATTTAGCTACCTCACGAAACAGTCATAATTCGGAAAACTAACTTACAGTTCTACTGAGGCTAATGTAAAATCATTCTATATTTTGTTTTGATTGTTTAAGATATAAGGTTTGATATTTCAGCACAATTATTTATAAATTTGAACATTTCTGTTTAGCCATCTTTAGCTAACCATTGTATCTGCATATTGTCACACTCGATTTGAAAATTAGGTCGACCAACGAATTTGAGTATGTGCAAGTGGCGGGAGAGACGACAACTCAAAGTGGGGTTCTAAAGGTCTCCTGTGCCAATCTTTCACTGAGATTGAGCGGTTTGGGGCAAAAGTAAGGTTTAAATTGATAATTTAATTGTAAAGTAAAGTTTATAATTATAATTAAGGAATAGCTAACACAAATATTAATATTATTATAACCAAACAAAATTAATAACTAATACTCAATTAAAAATTGAAATTCAAAGACACAAACTAATAATATCAGCATTGAATTATAAAATCAATATGTCTAATAAGACTACGTTTCGAATTTTGAGTATCATTGTATCTAAAATCCATTATGAAAGTTTTATCATTTTAAACGTGAATTGATCAGTACGTGCAAGAATTTAGCATTCATTTATAAATTCTACGAATCATGTTAGAGATTTTTTTTGAATTTTGAATCTTTATGTATGGTCTCTTTGGAGCTCAATATCTCAAGAACCAGTAGCGGGAATTGAGTGTAAGATCATCAATCAATTCACCAGAACTTAGGTAATTGGATGATAGATTTTATATTGAATTCCCGCCACTGGGTCTCGAAATATTGAGCCCAAAAGAGGCCGTACGAATCTTTATTTAACAATTTTTATGCACGGCCTCTTTGGGATCAATATCTCGAGACCCGGTGGCGGGTATTGAGTGTAAAGTCATCATTCGATTTACCAGTACTAATGTTGGGATTTATATTCAATTCCCGCTACTGGGCCTTGAGATATCGAGCCCTAAAGCGGCTGTACACAAAAAATTATTAAATAAAATTCCCATACGGCCTTTTTGGGACTCCATTGGTGGCGGTGATTAAATATAAAGCCTAACATTAGTATTTGTAAATCGAATGGTGGATTTTACACTCAATTCCCACCACCGCCCAAAGATGCCGTGCATAAAAATTGTTAAATAAAGTTCCCGTACGGCCTCTTTAGGACTCATGATTGAAATTATTTAATGTAGCATGCCGACAATATCAGATTTCTTAAATGGTCTGGCTGTCGATCAGACCATTCCCAAATTTCAATTTGTCCAGAATATATTTTTTATTATTTTTAATAAATTCGAGTCGGTCACAAGTCGGTTCGAGTCGTGTTCGGGGGTTATATAAATGCTAACCCGAGTATTTATACATTTAATTTTTATACTCAGGTCGAATACGAATATGTCCCAAAACCCGACCCGATTCGACACACTAATTATTGCAACTTTCAATTCCTGAAGCAATTATCTGAACTATTACTTCATGTTATAGATATTGAACGTGCGATATTATTCAATTGTCGAATATGAGAAGCTTTCATTAATTATTGTTTTGTTGGCATCATTTTCTATAGTCAAACCTGAAAATTTTGGGCTGAACAACTAATTTCAGTTTATAATTTATTATATTAAATTTTTTAGATAACAAAACTATACAGAAATTTATACAAATAATTTTATATAAAATCATAAAAACATAATATATAAAAAGCATAATCTGACGTTTAGCATCGATTTCTATATCACATTAAATATAAAAACGAGCAGCTTTAAACCTAAATATTTGAACTTTATTCAGTCTTAAATGTCATTTTTGATTAATATAAAAATAAATGTGTCTGTTGTTATTGATATTAATTTTGAAGTAAAGATTCGATTGACGTGCATTTGTTGTTTTTTGTTCGTATTTATAGAAATGGTTTTTTGCTATTTTAACTTTTAACTTTCTTGTTTAAGATACTCTTTAAATTATTCTGTTTCAATTCATTGTATTTATGAACACTTCAGTAGTCGATAGATCTCGAATTTTTTAATGATACATTTATCCGCCTAATACGAGATACATGTATATTTGTTTTCATTCACCACTTCCAATTTCGTACATGTATCTGCAGCGTTAATGTTAGTGTATATTAATAGCCTTCAATTTACAAACACTGGCGTAGGACAACATATATGACGTAACGAAACGTGCGTTGTATAGCATAAAGCGCAGAAAATGTGATACCGATACATTAATAACTTTGCAATCTCGTTCAACGTGAAAATTAAATTCCCACGCATTTCCAGGCATGTCTGAAAGGTAACCAAATAAAATACTTGTAGAATTAATGATAAATTTAATTTTAATCTGTTAGTAAAACCCTTCGATACTCTAAATAAACATGCTCTTATTAAAGGCATACAAAATTATTTGTAACTCGGTAATTGTCATCTTTATAATACTATCTATATTATTGAAACTTTAAAAAGGAATAATTTAGAAATTTGATCAAGCACTCGTCCTAGAACTATTCATATTAGTGACTCTGTTTTTTAATGAGGAAAAAGAATGAGAAAACTAATAACATCACTTCCATGCCTGCCCGGAGACTGATCTGAGCATTTATTGGATATTTTGAAATGACAAAAAAATCGATCGATGCACTCGCAGAGAAATGGAGAAAAAATCGAACCAGAGATTTTGTTGCAAGCATGCCAAGAAGAACTGTAATTGACGCAAATGGGTAAACTAATTCGATATTAAAAACATATGATGAATAACTGAATTGCTCTACTTTTGCTGAATAAAATTATAGTATACATGTGATGTAAAATTAAAGTTGTCTAAAGATGCACCAATCGGAATTAATCTACTTTTGCTGAATACATGTAGTATATTTAAGAGTACATGTGATGTAAAATTAAAGTCATCTAATAGATGCACCAATCAGAATTGTGGCTTAAAAATAAAATCTGAAACATCTCCTGCTTTTCAAAATTAGCATTTTTTCCTTTTTTGGAACCAAATTTATGCTTTTAATATTTTTTAATCTACAATTTTTTTCTAGTATTAATGTATTATTTTTACAATACTTTTGCAATGAATATATATAATTAGTTTTAGTCGCATAGGATATAAATATGCCCTTCGTTCTCATAGTTTTCGTTTTTTAGAAATTATCTTTACATTCTATTTCTATAGCTATCAACTAATTCTTCGAACAGAGTTGATTTTTCACAAAAACGACTGTTGATAATGTCCAACTATTACCCGTTAACTCTTTCGATCGAAGAATTAACTATACCGGCTGCAAAAAAACGTGATGATTCTGGGACACCACCTCGACCGCAGAATAGCTGGATAATTTTTCGAAGGGACTATGAAGCGCGTATACGTTTATTCAATCAACACGCTAAACTAAAAGTCAAAGAAACAGCAAAGGAATGCAGCTTAAAATGGCAGACGTTATCAAATGAAGACAAGTATTTCTTCAAAATATTAGAGAAAATAGCTTACGAGAATCATAAAAGCTTATATCCTAATTATAGGTATAAACCAAAAAATGTAAAAGATTCAAACAATAAGGAATGGATTTTTCGTGAACATAAGAAATACAGATTTACTTCGGTATCCGTGTCTAGCTTAGCGAGTAATCGTTCACTTCCTCAAGAAACACAAATCTTTAGGTCGTCCTCTTTAAATGATATAACATCAATTGCTGAATACAACAATACTGCCATCTCAACTTCAACAACTTTTGATAATACTCATCCTTCTATAATAAATGCTAATAATGAAGCCGGAAATTCGATTAACGGCGCGTTTAATGAACTTTCATTGGATCAGTTTGTTTTATTTGAAAACGAGGCTATTAATAATAGTAATCTTAATGCGGATATTTTATGAACCTTTTTTCAACAATCTTTTATGTTTTAATTGACAATTCTTTACCATTAAACAATAATAACTCTGCTACTTTCACCCGTTAGAATCCAACCGTTTATCTAAGAATATGATTTATTAAATATCGAGCTTGAAGAAGACTTTTCTAATCATTTTTTATAAGTTAGATTTGAAATTCCAAATCCTCGCTATTTCATAAAACATAGATCTCCTTCGACAATTTTAAATTAATTTTTTAATTCGTTATTCGCTTGTTCATTTTGTTCTTTCGTTTTAATTTAATATTTATTCGGTCTGTTCTTGTTTTGTTTTAATTAAGTTCGTACACTTGTACTTTGAAGGTCATTGTTGAGCACGTGGGTTGTGCATGCACAAATTATACTATCAAATAAATCGAATTTTCTACCAATCGAAAGAACGCTAAGTGAGTTTAAAAATAATGATAAACTCTATTTTCGGTATTAAGGTCGATACTGTATACAAAGAAAATTAAAATATCCAGTTTTTTTATTACGCACTGTATGTTTTAATATGATTACAAATAAAAAGTCTTAGTGAAACTTTTTATAAATTTATATTTTCTTGTAATAGGCACAAGATTAAGAAGACGTATAGGTAGAAAGGAGAAAAAGTATCTTAGTCGTTTGTTGCTAAAATATCAAGAAAATCGGAAACTAATCACAGACCTGAATATAGTTGAAAGAGCTATATATCTTTTTATTTCAACCTCAAATATAGAATAGATTTTATCAAAGTTACCAAAGATTTCCGGTTTGAACTCCGTTGTAAGTGAAAATACTGCTCATCCACTATGTGGAAAATCAAATGACTTTTTGTTGTAGTTCTGCAGGTAGAATCCGGCATTAATTAGTCTTGATACTTAAGTAGGAAAATTGAGAACTTGACAGGTCATATGAAGTTTATAGCTTTTTCTATAACTAATATTAAGAAATATTAAGGGTTAGGGTGATGTAAAATTCTAACGGCCTGTGATTTTGACGAAAATAATGAGTCTAAATCAGTTTTGGATATATTCAATGATTTATGTGATAATGCTCTTCCTATTGTAATAAAACGTTTTGAGATTCGCCTTCTATTTCATAGTTGCAGAAGCAAATAATCAATTTATTTTAGGCAAGCAAAATATGAAACATGTAGACTCGCAAGAAATTAGTAAAATTAAACTTTGACTGCTATTATAATACTATGACTGAAGGAAGTATTTAAAAAATCAAGAGAACGAACATAATTTCTTAAGTATAAAAAGATTCTGCAACGGCGCAGTTTAAATAAAGCGTATTAAGCATCATTTCTATTCTCACAAACATACAGCTACTATTTGCACAAATTGTTAGGCAAAAATATTTATGAGATATATAACATAAATAAAAATAGTTTTATATGTTATTAAGATTTACTTTATTGTTTTTAAATGCACGCAGACCAACTCTTAGTGAATTACATGAAATCCTGAATGTTAATAAGTCCAAAAAATCGAAATCCCGACTAAATGGCATCCTGAATAAACCAAATCCTGAAAGATCAAAATCCAAAATGAAAGCTATCCTGAAAGAACGTTCATTCTGGATGTCGTTCATTTGGGATGTCATCCATTCAGAATTTCGATCTTTCAGGCTTTTGAACATTCGAGATTTCGTATTTCATTTTATAAATTATATTTTTTATCAATCATATATTATTATCAAAAAAATAAAATAAAATAATAAATGAGCGAAGAAGCTTCTCAGAGACAGAGATCTTCCATTTTAATTTTGGATGCCGCCCAACATCCGACACCGACTTCCCGAAATTCCAACATCCCGACAACCCAACTTCCCGACAAACTAGTCCATTATAGGGATCGACAACTAGCATTTATTAACATTTAGACATCAATGATTCTTGGTAATTGCGCAACTTTATTTTTAATTCGTTAATAATTAACTGATTTATCATAAAAGGAAATTGCGTAAATTTTAATTACATATCGATATAATAAAAAGTTAAGGAAATTGAATATAAATCTTATATAAAAGAATAAAAGCAACATATATCATACAAAGAAAGATTGTGCGCAATTCCACGAAGAAAATCTAACACTGAACGATTTGCTCGATCATTAATAACACTTATAATTCTCCCTCTCTATCAATTATTGGCTTTTGTCGGGAAGTTGGGTTGTCGGGATGCTGGATTGTCGGAATGTTGGGTTGTCGGAATGTTGGATTTCTGGATGTTGGGTTGTCGGGATTTTGGAATTTCGGGAAGTTTGGTGTCAGGATGTTGGGGTGTCGGAATGTTGGGGTAGACCCCTTCAATTTTACCTAATTCAAATAATAATAACCCTTGTAAACAGATAGCAAATTTAAATTAGCTAAAGATCTCAAACGTCATACATACACAACAAATACACAAATAGTATATACATAATCAGAACAGTGATAATGCCATTTAGTCAATCTCAGTTATGATTAAAAATTATAAAAGCGAGGAAAAAGTACATAAACTTCCTATAAGTTTTAAATTAGCAAAAGAAAACTATTTACTCAATTTACCCTTTTAATAAATTAACTGTATTGTTTAAAGAATGTCTAACTCCGTCGTTAGTACTATTAAGCTATAATGATTTGTTAATTTTAAGTAAACGTCCTTATCGATTAACGCTTTCCATTGAAGAATTAATGAAACCAGCTGCAAAAAACCGTGGTAATTTTGAAAAATCACCGCGACCGCAAAACAGCTGGATAATTTTTCAAAGAGATTATGAGCGCATTTACGTTTACTTAATCAACATGTCAAAAAAGAAGTAAAGAATACAGCTCATGAGTGCATTCTGAAGTGGAAAAATTTACCAAGCGAGGTCAAACATTTCTTTAAAATATTAGAGAAGATAGCTTATGAGAATCACAAAAGCTTATATCATAATTATAAATATAAGCCAAGAAATGTAAAAGATTCAAATATCAAGAAATGGTTTTTCGCGAACAAAAGAAATACGCATTCACTACTTCACCCAGGTCTGTCTCAATGAATAATTTCACTTCCCAAGAAGCAGCACAAATCGTTAGGTCGCCCACATTGAATGAGACAACTGAATATAGTTGTAACGTCATCATCACTTTAACAACAACCATTGATGATACTCATCTTCTCATGATAAAGAAGCCGAAAACTCGATCAACGAGCTTTCATCGAATCAATTTCTTTTTTTATTTAATAATACATATACATGTAATAATAATCTGAATGCGAAGCTCTTTTCAACGAATCTTTTATAATAATCCAATAACTCCACTGTTATTTTCATTCCAGTAAAATCTCAGCCACGCCCACAGCCATTTATCTAAGATATGGTTTATTAAATGTTGATTTGAAGATTCATTATATATAACTTTTTGGTCGTTTTTATAACAAACTCAAGTTAGATAAATAGAGATTTGACTTTACTAGCATGACAAATTATTAGATCTAACTCAACAATGTTATTTTAGTTCGTTATTCACTTATCCATTTTGCATTTTCGTTATAATTTAATAATTTGTTCTGACTGTTCTTCATTTAGTTTATTAGTCCATTAGGTGCTCTATGAAATATAAATCAGGTGATTTCTGTCAAGTCTCTTATTACTTTTCTTTAATATTGATATACACCATTTTTATTTCTATAATTAGTCAATTATGATTACTGCTAGGAAGTATATTAAAAATTTTATGCTGGGCATTTTTACTTAGTGGTTGAAAGCTAGTTGTCATAATGAAATTTTGAGTTATTTGCGATTTTCACTTTTTTTGAATTATATATATAATAAAAAAGTCACGTGAAATTTCGGAATTGTGGAAGGCTGATTCATATATCGATATGCTGTGTTTGTTCGAGTTCGGGGGGTTATGTAGCATTTTTCTTTATGAATCAGTTGAGTTTCTTTTTTACCGGCTGGAACGTACTACGAGGTTGAATATATTACTAGTACAGTATCTGGTTGACGGGTTGGTGGCTTTTCCGTAATATGATTTATTCTTTTATCATTCTAAATATGCGGCCAAATTACTCTGGCTTTGACTCTTAATTGTGCCAATGACTCAATTATTTTGACCACATGTTCAGATACTACCTTATCTCCACTATTATTTTCGTAGGTCTATTATTCCCATCCCATCGTTCAACAAACAATTCGTCATATTTTCGTGATAATGTTGGCAGTTTTCCCGTCTGATTTCTTTGTCCTAGATCGAGTTTTGTGTTCCAACCCGTTTGCAAGTGGTAGTTTTCTTCTGGTCCTTGAGGGATGTGTTTTGCGGAATTTCCATAGTATACCCGTTATTTTCATTGTTCATTATTATTGTTATTGAACGTTTGCGTATGCAAAGTTAACATATTTGTGGTATCTAACAGATTTCTCTGTTTAATTACATGAAATAATCCCTTTTGATCATTTTCTTGTCAGTACAGTGTTGCTATTCCTTTATTTTTTCATCTATGGGACATTAGTGTAGATGTGTGTGTCGCGGGTGATGTTCGATAAGAATAAGTGGCCGACTAAGGTTGTGACTCATAATTCTTATATATCCACTTTATTTTAAGAAATTGGGTACAATTTCACTGTGGTGGAGATAATGGATTAAATTCCAGGGATCTTAACAGTAGTCTTTTTTCAAGTTGCTTTCTTATTAGTATGGTATGACCATTTCTTTGCATGTCGAGAGTCTTCTAAAACTCACACCCTCATTATAAACAATTTATAATAACTCGTCGGTCCGTGGATCCGAAGCCTTGATCTCTTTGCGTGGATTCCTCTAGTTCTTCGTAAGAGTCAACTGGAAAGAGTTCCCTGATTTTCGCCAGTTGTAGGTATATGCCTTGTGCTATCTCGTCTCCCAGTTTAAGTTTATATTCTTCCTTTGTGGTTTCATTATTTTCGAGGTTGATTTTGTGGGTTCTTTGTTCGCCAGTTTTTTTCGTTATTATATATCTTTGAATCGTCAGATTAGAATATGCGTTTTTTTGGTTTGCGAAGCTTGTACTCGACGATTCCTTCTTACACCATCGCTGGCTTCGTTGTTGCTTTGATTCTTCTCGTTGAATCTTTCATCAAGGGGCACCAAATTGTTAACTGGATAAGGTTTTTAGCAGAATTATGGCGAATTAGTGTCATACGAACTGTTTATACTGTATATTGTTCTCATAATGATACAATGCTTTATAAGAATGATGCATTATAAAGAAATAATCAATATCGATATTGTCATATATAAAATTATCTTTGTTAGATTGGCACGTGAGGTTATGTGATATTGGGAGACGGGTGATGTATATTGGAAAAAATATCGGGTTGATCGGTAGTTATTCATGTGATCTTGGATTTGCACAACTCGAATTCTATTTTTATATACATGACACTGTAGAATACAACCATCACAAAGTTGCCAGCATGCGAGCCAATAAAAATACAATGATAATAATAATGATGTTGATAATGATGATGGCAGTAGCAAAATAAAAGTACTCGATTTAAATGTTATTTGAGTCCTTCCGTTTCAAGTTTCCTCTTTAATTCTTCGTGTTCTTGCTTAAGAAGCTCTTGTTCCGGAATAATAGCCTCTTTTCGCGAACAAGCAATTCGTTTTCTTCGCGAAATTTTTCCAAATCCGCAAAATTCGGAGCAGCTAAATATTGCTGTCTTAGCTGATCGATTTGAGATTTCTGGAATTGGCTCTTCTCTTCATATACCGTATTTTCTCGTTCAAATTATCAACTTTTCGCTCATTGTGATTTTTCAAAACTTCAATCTCCTCTATTAATTTCCGTATTCTTGCTTCTTCTTTTTCTTCTTGTCCATCTTGATAGGTATCTTCAGATTTGAAGATAATGATGAGGACTCTTTTCTCTTCGCCAATTCCACCAACCTCCTCTTCAAATACTGATTCTCCTCCTCTAATTGTTCCGTTTCCTCCAACTTCCTCTTCAAGTTTTTATTTTCCTTCTCCGTCGTCTCCAATCGACTTTTTAAAGCTTCATTTTCATTTTTTACCGATGCCAATCGCTCCTTTGTTTCTGCAAGTAAATTTGCTTTGAATTTCGCACTTTGTTCAAAAGCGCGAGCTCGTAGTTCCTCCCTTGCTAACCTCTCTTTTAACGTCTTAATCGGATCCGGGGCTGTGAAGGTGAAAGAGGAATCGATTCATTAATTGTGGTTGAATCATTCTCGTAAATATGTACTGACGAAGAATTCTGCATAAAAAGATTGTTGATTGACCCTTCTGGCGCGGTTGTCCAGAATTCTTCATCTTCTCTTCGAGTATGTTGAAGCTATTGTTGACGAGGAGAATATTCTGCCTGACTATCAATCGTAATCAGCACGATACTTCAGATAGAGCATCACTATTAATAGTTGGGATCACCAAATTTCTCGTTCTCCAGTCTGACGCATCTAAAAAAAATTTTGCAGCAAAATCCTAGATAATTTTTTTATTTTTTGTTCCAAAAGAGAAATAATATGAATAGAAAGGATGTTACACATGTTTCTTGCTTGAAATTTATTTCCGCTCCCTAAAGCAAGAAATCGACTAAGATTTTAAGATTTCACCTGAATCCAACAAGATATAATTCGACAAGTCGAAAGAATACTTGTCAATTAGATATGTCTGTATGTCACTCTCATTTCAGACAAGATTTTGTGTTTTAATCATAATATTTATCATAAACTTAATAAGCTAAAAAATAATACAAAAAATAACAACACTTGCGATGTTAATAATGATAATAGAATCAATCATCTATCAAGCATCTATCAAATATTTTTAACGCATTGACGTATCCACATTTTAGTATAAAATAGGTAACAGTAATAAATTTTTTTACTTTGCTTTTTTCAAAAAAAAAAAAAAATGAAAACCATACCTTATCCCATAAAAAAACGAAAACGCATAACACATATCCTACATGACCAATTTGTCTCAATAGTGCCTAATATTGGATACATATAGCAGCGCACGCACAGCACCATACATATTCACCATCCCATGGTGAATATGTGTGTGCTGGAAATGTGTGTATCATTATTTAGGCGGTGATAATAGTCAGGTTCGATCGAAATGAGTTTCCAAGACAAAAAAATCAAAAATATTTATTAAAGAATTTATTTTTTTCTGTTTCTTCGCAAAATAAATAATCGAGAGTTGAACGGTCGGCAAAATGACAGAGACTCTCAAGGATGAAGGAATGAACTGTGCAAACCGCTGCACATGCAGGTAAGCTACACGGGTGTGGAAACAACGCGATCGTCAACTATATATACAGTGTGATTCAAAATTATTTGGAAAAATAAATTTATTATTACTCCGCAATCACCAAACCAATTATAATAAAAATACATTTATTTAAAAGATAAAAACATGTATTTTGTTAAAAAAACAAATTAATAATCAATAGTATCACCTTTACTCTCTATTACTAGCATACATCTTCGTTTACTAAACTCTCTAATGTATCATTTGGAATTAAATTCCATTTCTCCTCCATAAATAATTCTAATTGGTCCAAATTTTTTGGTTTTCTTTTTTCTACGTTTCTCTTGAAAAATCAATCTTTGTTAATACAAGTTTCATTGTAAATGCTGAATTCTGGATCTACCCTCAAATCTCGAACTCAAAATTCTGAATGCCCAATATCCCAAATGCCCAAAATCCTGACATAATAAATTCCTGATAATACACTTAAAATTATGTAAATAAACATTGATGCGAAACGTGTGTAATAAATAATGATTACCACGATCGATTCTTTCATGCATACATATCTTTACACTTTATTTATTTTGTTGGGATTTTAAGAATGTCCAGGATGTTGGGAGTCAGAGATTTTGGTCATGCGGGATAATTTGGCGTTCGGATGGCACTCCTGACTAACTCTTTATAATTTCGTCCTTAAAACATTATAGGCCATTGTCAATTTCTTCTAAAGCCCCCTCTGGTCTGTTTTTGGATGACTTGAGGACATCTATGACAATCACTTTCGGCAAAATTATTCACGCTTTTGCTCGTCAATATCGTATCTTGCAGAATATAAGCAACATCCCTGTATTGATCTTTTACCCTATTGTTAATCTTTAACGTTAAATTTTAAATTTTTATCAATAATTTTCGATGACCAATTAAAATTATTTTCAACAAAATAGCTGAACAAATATTTGATACTATTTTTTAAAGTGTTAAAAAACCAATGCGGGTATGTTACTTATATTTCGCAAAATACGGTATACATTATTATAATGACTCAGAAAAAACCCACGTCAAAACCTTGCAATTAACCACAATTATGATCATAGGATTCAAGTCAACCTTGAGCACGTACTGCTTTACCCGATGTTTTTATTCAACGTTTGGTGCCATCTGCTCTGAGATACGGGAAACGTCAAAATGGAGTTTATTTTTTACCATTTAACACTGATCGAACAGGGTTTTCATCTTGGGTAAAATCATACATGGAATTACTTATATCTTGTGATTTGATTGGTTTGCAGAAGGATGTACAAAAAAAAGTATTTAATGATTACATCATAGTGCCACATCATCATAATACAGGCTTGAATTATCGTAATGCTGATTTATCATTCCGATCATTTTAATTGGCGGACCAAAGAATCCCACAATTTTGTAAATTGGATCTTGTTTATGTATTTATATATCAAAGAAGGGAGTAATAGAATTAACATTCCTGACAAAGCAGTGCTTGGGTGAAGTGTGTTCAGTGATCAGCGTGTAGGCTATACATATGCAATTGATGATCATGTTGTTTCAGTGGGTTAGCTATATCAACGATCAGCATGTATGGTTGCATACAGTGTGATTCAAAATTATTTGGAAAATGATTGTCATCAATCGTCGCACATGAAATAATCAAAATGTACTACAAAAAATAGACGAATAGGAGAATAGATATCCAATAAACTTCCCACGGATTCTCAATCCTTTACCGTAGACTACAGTATCCCCTGACTATACTACCCCCCATGAATAAGACCCGGGTATTATTCATGAGTGTAGTTTTGAAAAATTGAATAGTACCCGGATACTGTATATTATATAAGTAATATATTATTTAATTCCATTCATTAACATAATTGATTTCTTCTACGTTATAATCATTATCTTCACTAGCTTCACTAATTCTATCATAATCAACCAAACTCAAATCAACAATTTCTTCAATATCTAAAGTATTAATCTCTTCACCCCCAGTATTAGAATCAGAATTAGAATTTGAACTCTCACCAATATTATCACTCCCAACCTCATATATGTAGTTATTTGAATTTGTTAACCGTTGACCAAATTGATCATAATCAAAAATTAAATGATCTTCTTTGCCATCTCGTGAATTTGAAATGCCACAACACTTGAAAGACTTGCGAATTAAAGTCACATCAACATTACTCCATGCATCAAGTATCCATTGAGTAATAATATTATATGCTGGATGTTGAATACAACCGGTTTTGGTGTAATTTTGAACACCATCAGTCATCCATTCATTATAAAAATGTCGCATCTATTGATAATTAAATTAGTATTAGATATATAATTGCATAATTATATTGATTAAATATAAAAAATTACCTTTGATTTAAAAGACTTGTTGATTGCAACATCTAATAGTTGCAATTTAGAGGTTAAATCACCTGGAATTATGGCCAAGTTTGTGTTTTTTCTAAAAACTGTCATTTTATGGAATTCACAAGATGTCCTTTAAATGAATCCAAAACCAAAAGTGAACGTGAATTTACTAATGTCGGTAATCATTGATTCCATACATTTTCTATCCACCACAACATTTCATTTTCATTGACCTATCCAGTTGGATTAGCATGAATCATTACTCCTACAGGAAAAGTTTGCCGTGAAACATTGACCAGTTTGAAATAATAACAGGTGGCAATTTGGTTCCGTTTGCCATACAACCAAGAATAACCGTAAAATTAGACTTTTCATGACCACAAGTTCGAATAGAAATAGTATTGGCACCACGATTATCAATTGTTGTGTAATTAGGAAGATCAAATGATAAAGGTGTTTCATCCATATTGCCAATTAAAGCAAGAGGGTAATCATGCTGAATTCATCGATATAAAACAAAGCTCAAAAATTCATGCTGTAG